CAGGAATAGTTGTCTGGCACAAAAAATAGAACAAGTTATGTGCTTGTACATTACTGCTCGTTTCCTATTAATTTAACTAATTTAAAAAAAAAGAGTTTACATAAATTTACTTTTTTTAAATACATAAACAGTTAAAATAGACAAATGTTGCTTTTCATGCAGGTCTCTATAAAGTGATTGCTTTTCAACACTAACAGCAACAGTGAGTTGGTTAGGAAGGTAATAGTTTCAAAGGTAATAGTTTCATGATGTATTGTATATCGAACAATGTAGACTACCGGTAAAATATAATTTGTCTCAGAAAAGTGAATGCACAGTTTTCTAGACAAGCAGACAAGATTAAAATCCAGCAATTAATTCCCACACTGCTTGCTGAAGTAGTAACCAGAATGAATAGGAAATTATTGCATCAGCAGGCAAGTTGTGCATTTTAGTATACTAAATGTGTATACTAAAATACTTACCAATAACCCAGAACACAGCAGATCCAGCACCAGCAAGGAAAAACAAGGGACATGAAAATAGCGTGATAGCTAAATACTGCTGGCCAACTGTTAATTCACGACCTAGAAAAAAAAAAAAATATTGCAAATTTAATTAGATTTAACTGCGAGTTGTGAAAGACTAATGTTGGTGTATTACAAGCAAGGTGAAGTTTTCTCCACCCTGGTCTGGCGTATTTGTGGTTAACTAGCTCAGTAACATCAGAAGATGAACAAATCAAAAGAAAAACTAAATTAGACCATTTTCCATTAATATAACTGTGAGATCCACCGTTATATGTGAAATCAAATGTAACAGGACAAACAAAGGTCATGTTCTAGTGACATCAAATCGTGAAAGCATGTTTTGAGTACTGGTATTTTTACGCTTAATAATGTGCTAGACACATTTCACGATGGTCAATTTTGATGAAGTAATGATATACCAATGACATATTTTTTTTTTGAAAAATCAGTATTTCAACATTGTAATATAAACAAGAAGCCACTCGGCTGAGAAAGCACCGCTGTTCGCAGTGCACATTTCAATTAAAGAACTGAAAATATTATTGGAAAATTAACAAATCTGAGAGGTCTACTTAAGGTAAGTACTGGTATAATATCAAAGAAATAGGACTTGCGGTTTTTAACATGAAGTTGAAAAAATTATTTTTTTACAAAAAAGGACAAAAGTATTCATCAAAATTAGAGGATTGAAGATATTATCACAAAATGAACAAATCTGAGAGAGGTCTACTGAAGGTACATACACCAAGTACCGGTATCAAAGCAATAAGAATTGTAGTTTTCAAGAAGAAGTCAAAAGTGAACGGACAATCATTATATAAGCAAAGTCAACAGCAGAGCTAAAAAAAGAATCTCCTGTTAAAAATCAAATCATTTGGTTTTTACGTCAAATGTTCGGTCAGCTTTTTTCACACATTACGCAAAATCTCCCAATGAATGAAAAATCTCCTATTATATTAGGCAGTTCACATATAGTCAGTAAGAAAGCTTCACCTGAGAAAGACATCACATAGCCAAAATTCTCATAGAAACAAAAATATATACAAGTTCAGCAACTTTATCAGTTGCACAACTTTTCCAATAGTGTCAAATATTTTGTAATCATTATGATTACTTTTACAGTAAATAGCAAAGCTGGTCAGTGCTACATTTGTTTAAAGCGAGAGAGTAGTCACCAGCGCATGCGTCCGATGGCCATAGCGTGTCATTGTTTACAAACAAGCGTCTACCCATGAACCTTTGCGTTTAAAGCGTGTTGTCATGGTCGCTTGGGACTCAATTCCTGCATGTACGCAGGTGACGACCCTCTCGCTTTAAAGGAAACATTCACTATTTAGAGATCTCATGCAAATAACGCTGACTGTACAGCATACACCTTTGTAATAAGTCAAAGGACGCCCTCTAGTGATGAGGTGCTGTAAAATGCTGAATTCAGACAACCTTTGCTCTATTAGAAGCACATCTGCAATATTAGTGTACATTAACAACCAGTTGCATTAATTGTAATTCAATTAAAATACGAATTATTCTGATGATAGACATACCACTACATAAGTGCATAAACTACTATTAGAGCAAAACATTGGGTAAAAGACTCAAAAAAACTTTGAATGATAAACACTATTACAGGAAAGCAAACGGGATATTTTCCTTTACATGTATTTCTATTGTAAATAAATTAATATATCTTTTAAAGGAGATGACATATCCAGACATGCAAAGGATGCTATGCTAGATGCTATAATAAATATGATATTACACGGTCACTCATTGGATGAGATGCTGAATTGTTTAAGTTACGAACAACAAAACCAAAACTGTTTTAATTAACAGTTAACCAAACTTTGAGTTACAGGCAACATATTTTTTTTTGTTTGGTTTAATGTTGCATGTAATTCGAAATTTAGGTTAATGATAATTGAACATGTTACAATTTGGACATGGTTTCACAAAAGTGGGTGTGGTTTCTAACATATGGCATGGTCCTTTTTGTGTCTCGATGTCTATAACTCAAACAAATCAGCATCACTCACTGCATACCCTCTCAGTGGATTCATTGTATGCTGGATCTTTGAAATACAACTTATTTTGACTATGGACACACCTCTATTATTTAAGTGCATGCATGCATACTAATGGTGCAAATACAAAAATATGAGGATACCGCAAACTATGCACACATTGTATGATACTTGCCAGTATTCCCATATATTTACCAAGTGTTTGTTTTGTGGCTGTATTTGGAGTGTGCTAGCAACTTAGCAAGGCTAAAAATCATTATGTGAAATGTAATATTGAATTTTGACCCATTACGCCACTTCAAACATTATTAGAAACCATATTTTCTCTATTACTGTAGTAACACATAGATTTGCATACATTAAAGAGATGTTCTCTTTGGTCAAATTAGTTATGCTTTAATTAATGATTCAGTATACAACAAATAAGATTGTTTGTTTATATGTGCATCTAAAGGCATTTCTAATAGAGTAAATATGGTATCCTATTAATGTGGTGTATATAACAAAATTTGATTTGTAGAAAACTGACAAGAAATGCAGTAAAGACACAGTGTCATTTCATTCTCACAGCCATGTATATAAATAGAGAATTGGATAATTGGGAAATGGCATATCCCAGACCCATCCAGTGTGTGCCTAGAAGCCATTATAAGAGTATGGTTACCATTTCTAAGATCATTATAATCCAGAGTCTGTCCTGATGTTCGAGTAACTACAATTTTGTGTGAATTAAAACAAAGAAAATATCAGTTCACATTTTAGCAGAAGCATTTTGACAGAAGGCCACTAAATGCCTTAGAGAATCAGATATTTGTCATTCAATATTTTAATATCAACTTGATACATTATTGGACCATTGGCATGCAATATTAAACCCCATTCTCACTTAATAATGGAGCTGAAATTGTACAGAGATCCAGTAAACCTGCATATTTCACTGTTAGGAAATCGAAAATCCATTAATTTTTCAGCAGTTGACAACTATGAATATGCAAAATTTCAAATAATTACAGGCTTTCCGTATTTACTTAATATAACTAACATGCAGCCAGTTAGCATCCTCAATTTTAATAGCCACACCTTCAGATTTCTACCAACAGTGCTTTGCAATGGCCTTTAATGCTATGTTTATTTAATTAGCCTTTTTAATTCCACCTTTGTGTGCCTACAGGTCTCCAAGTCTTTAATTATAGTAATTGTTTCCTATAAATAATAATGAAGCAGCGAAAATAGAATCAACAGGAAAGACGTTAATTCACACCAGCTGTCAATCTCAGACTATTATGGGAAATATTGAAATGATGATGAATGAAATATTGAAATGATGATGAATGAAATATTGAAATGATGATGAATGAAATATTGAAATGAATGAAAGACAGCTACATCTGTAGACTGCAATGATAAGTTAAAAATATAATACTCAAATGACACCAACTGGATGAGAACAGGTACAAGCCGCAGATGAGAAAATTATTAAGCATAAAATTAAATCTGGATCAAACTTAGCATAACATTAACCATTGAAACAATATTACATTTTCCCCATTGTTTTGACCCTATATACTGTATTTGTTCTATTAGAAGAGTTTACATCAACATAAAATATTGTGTTAGCATAATTATTTAAGTTTGGTTTCTGATAACTAACATTAATTACAAATCTGGATAAAATTTGGCATCATATTAACCACAGTTCCTCTACAGACTATAGAGGGACTGTGCATTAACCAAACGATATTACATTTTTCCATTATTTTCACCCTATATACTGTATTTGTATTTGAGTATACATTGACATAAAATATTGTGTTAGCATTATGTAAGTTTGGTTTCTGATAACTAACATGTTTCCAATTAAACTATTCTTTATCTTTACTATAGAGTCATAATATATATTAATATAACGATATTACATTTTCTGATTGTTTTGTCCTAGTTTAATTATACTATATGCATAAGTGCTTTTTCTCACATTAGAACAGTGCGAGTTGTGAGCATTTCAAAAATGTTATTCTAACAAGGGATTTTACTGAAAATGTGCTTCTAATCTAGCAATTACAGTATATTCTCATTTAATTTAATGGTGATACTGTATTTACTTCAATAAAAGTGCACATAGTGACATACACTGGATCATTAAAGTACATCTCTTTGTTTGGCCATGAGTGCAGATACTACTAATAGACCAAATATAGCAACTGCTTTATTTTGTATGTGTAACTTGACTCCAAAAACTACGTTGAAGGTATGTAAAATAAATTAGGTCAGTAGTATTTTCTTGAGATTTAAAAGCAATTTTTCATTTTTGCCTTCTACCATGTTTTGAGAGTCCACACAAACTAAAGCTACAAGTACAGACTTTGGGTTTAAATCTTCAGAGGATGGGTGCATCACTACTACGGTTAGGAATTAAATAGTGGATATATAGCATACATTACCACCTGTAATACCCATGCTGATTTATAGTCACGGTGCGGCATATCCTGTGAAGGAAAATTAATATCCATACGTACCCCTACCTAACAGAATGACTTTTCCTGCTGCTTGTCGAGCTTTGATCAAGTAACATCCACCAACAAGGAAAATACAAGCAACTAACAATAATGGCGATGTTATACTGGAAATAAACAAAAACAAAATAAGGATTAGTAAAAGGATCAATGGACTTTACTAAAGCAACCGTCATGAATACTGAATTTAAAATACATTTAGATTTAGCTAAAACAATTATCATATTTATAGTGTATGCAATATGTAAATGGAGTAAGTCTATGGTCAAAATATTTTATCTGTCCAGGATATATGATTCGGACGAGAGGAGGCCATCAAGAACAATCAATGATGAAACAACTATTGTATTCATTCCATTAAAAACGCTTCTCAAATAGAAGCACAAATGAACCAAGAATTGAATACTGTAAAATACTTTATTTTAGCTGGAATTAATTTGTGCTGAAAAGACTTTTTGAGTGCTTTGTATGGAATTTATTTTTACTGATTTTTGACGAGTTGAATGTAAAACAAGGTATATTCACTGGATTTTATTTTCACTCTTTCAGCGAAAATAGCAAAAATTAATTCCAAGCAAAAATAAAGTATTCTACATTAATTAAAATATATTTTATTTTGAACACAGAAAAATCTTCCGTAATTCACATACTGTAGAATACTTTATTTTCGCTTGGAATTTATTTTCGCTATTTTCACTGAAAGAATGATTCCGTGAAAATAAAATCCAGCGAATATACTTTTTTTCCTATATTTCACATTAAACTCATCAAAAATCAGTGAAAATAAATTCCATACAAAACGCCCAAAAAGCCTTTTCAGCGAAAATTAATTCCAGCGAAAATAAAGTATTCCACAGTAAGTGTATACTCAACTAATGATACATGTAATTTTTGGTTATGCACACTACTAATAGTACAAATATGGTATGTCAATTTTGGTTGCAATTTAATAGCTGAAAATAATTTTTAACCATGAATTATATTCCATGTTTGACCAAATTCAGCTAATTTACGTTACCATCAAAAATGGCCACCAATCATAATTCTCGATATAAGCACAAACAAACATTTGAACAACTTGGCAATTTTGGAATACTAGTACATCAAAAAAAGTAACTGATGTAAGCAGACATGTGTAACCAACATTCAAAGTTAGAATAAATCAGTCATTTCAACTCAGACTGTGTTTTTAAGGCATTTTGAATGAAATTATAGAAAAATTATCAAGAGAATACAAGGTTATTGCAAAGATGCTGCGTATACACAAATACAGCACAGTAACAGTATCGGTCGACATGTAGCGGAGGTCAACACAACTGTATATTATCAGTACTGTCAGAATACTGTAAAATACTTTATTTTCGCTTGGAATTTATTTTCGCTATTTTCGCGGAAGGAATGATCAAGTGAAAATAAAATCCAGCGAATATACATTTTTTCCTATATTTTACATTAAACTTGTCAAAAATCAGTGAAAATAAATTCCACACAAAACACCCAAAAAGTCTTTTCAGCAAAAATTAATTCCAGCTAAAATAAAGTATTTTACAGTATTGGTCGCGCACAGATATAATGATATAATATGCAAGATGAAATCTCCAATCGTACTGCTACAATAAATTCTAACCCTTGAGCACAAAAGTCAATTTTTGTCATCTAAAACTAGTAATTCATGACCTATTGCCAAAAAAAAAAATGTGTTCCATTCGGAAAATGAATTATGGAAAAATATACAAAAATAAAACATTGTAATTTCAAAGGAACTGTAACAAATTGTATTTATCCATGAGTGACCAAATTCTGGCAAATATACGAAAAAATACGAGTGAATAAAATGTACATAAAATTGCCAGAAAAAAATTTAATGGGGGATGAAAAAAATAATATCAATATATTCAGCTGCACTGTGGAAGACAAGCTGTTACTGTTAATGGATACAAGACTAGAACTCGTGTTTGTTATATCCTTTCAATCATAGGTTAAAACATCAACTCATGACAGGTTTCAGTAACATGCCACAAAATCTACTGATGTGAATCGTCAAATCCGATGTAAGCTTTACCAAATCATGTCGTAACTGTCCAAGTATCTTTCTGATGAAATAATCTGATTATGAAAATATGATTTTTCACTAATTATGATGATGAATGTAATTTAATAAATGTAAGTTTCGCAATATGCTTAATTTTTTTTGCTTTAATTCTTTTTTCTTCTTTTGTTATTAAATCATGCATAAGCAGTTACAGCATGAAATGAAAGAATACAATCTTGAGACTAATAATGGTCACAAACTAAAATTATTTTCACTGATTTATCCCTTCAGCGGAAAGAGCAAAAATAATTCCAAGTACATGTATCTAGTAACAACAAAAATTTGATTTATTAAATGACTTTTAAACTTGCAATCTAATATATGGTCACACAGTGTATACTTCTATTTGCTATATATTCATGCAATTTTTGTATCCAAACTCAAGTACATTCATGTATCCAGTATCGTAAATGTGTGCCAGCTTATTTGTTATGGTGTTACCCAATGACACTAACAATATTTTCATGGAAGGAAATTAAGACACTAAAATTTAAGAGATCAAAGCAAAAGTCAAACATGAATGTCTACAAACTTGGAGTGTCAGTTAAAGTTTACTCACACACATATAGTTGTAAACCTGTTGCATTAGTTATTATGCATCTCAGGAGAAAATCTTGCAATTCATTCATTCATTTGACTCACTCATGTTACCCAAAATGATCTTCGCACAATTTTTTTTATGTTTATTAATTTTTTTTTGAGCATTTAAACTTTTGGAAGATATTTCAACAAATGTAGAAATAAACATAGGCATGTATTATGAATGTGACTAAAATACAAGACTATAACATAGGTACAGTAGTATAGCCAAAAAGGAAGATTATTGGCAGTAGACCATTTTTGATCTGATCATAAAATGAATCATCATGCACATGTATCAGCAGGACAAACCAGACAGCCATCTTTAATCAAATCACAAAATTAATTAATACGTATTCCTATATGACACATGTTCTAAATATCAATGAAAGCATAGGTGAATTAGATATAGTACTGGGGTAATATGGCAAAAAAACGGAATGACTTCACTGCCAATTGTAAAACTAATTGTCATGAACATGTATACATTTACTAACTTGCATAATACAAGATGGCTGCCAGTCGGCCATATCGGAAGAAATCACTAAACCACTGCATGTGCATATGTCCCACATAAAGTACTAAACACATGCAAATCTATAAATCTACACAGCAAAAATTAATTTTCAAAGTGAAATGATGACATCAAGCTGTTAATGTATATCACAAACGTGCATCTAATTTGCTATTCTATTCTATTTGCTATCTAGTACTGTAACAGCATTTCAATAGTAACTTAAAATGCATGATGGCATCCCTATCTGGGTGCTCTCTGGATTGTTTTGAGTGTTAGTATGTGTAATAATTAAGAACAGAAAACAATAAATGACAACGATTCCATAAATGAAATTATTAAGATATTTAGTTAAATTTTGAAGAAGAAAAAATCTGCATATACTACATTTACTAAAGACAGAAAGCACAAAGAATATGTTTACACCACTCTTAGGTGCATAAGTGTTGAACTCTCACCCCTTCAAACTTTTTTTTTAAATATTTGTTGTGCCAGACAAGATCAAATATCACTGTTGTACAAACTGCAAGTGTTACATATACATACAAGGTAATATCAAATGTCCACAGCTTTCTTTGTCAAAATACACATTCAACGCATGCAATTTGCACCAATGAAAAGTCAGGATTAGTGATATAATATAATATTCACACCTGGCACAAAATCACAAGAAACAAAACTTCAAACTTCTGATCAAAGTTTGAAGTTTCATTGTGAATGTATTTGTCAAGACGTGTATTGTAAAATATTTTACTTTAGCTAGAATTAATTTTCGCTGTAGAAACATTTTGGGTGTTTTATATGGAATTTATTTACACTGATTTTTGGTGAGATGAATGTAAAACATAAGAAAAAAGGTATATTCACTGGATTTCATATTCACTGAATCATCTCTATCAAAAACAGCAAAAATAAATTTCAAGCGAAAATAAAGTATTTTACAGTACATATATAGTGACATACATGTAGTGGCGTATATACTGTAAACCAATTCTATGAGCCAAAGAAAATCATGACATTTTGAAACAAAAAATTCTCTGAGGTCCTACAACTTGGGGTGTCTGCCTTTCGTGAAATTTCGTCTTCAGGAATGTCATAAAATTATCAAATTACAAAAATTCCCAGCAGGAAAAAAATACACAGAAGTCATCATGGTTTTCAATACGCGAGGAATACAGTATGATAACAATTACAGGCAGTCTGGTGAACTAAGAGTAGTTCGTGCTGGCCAGCATAATGCGATGTATTTCATAGTATTGTACTTAATATATCACATATTATATAAGACTAGCCAAATGGCAAACACAGGGTGCCACCTCATCATGCGGCAAGTTAAGACCCAAAATATGAATATTTCATCAATAGCTGTTGCAATCTGTTACACGGATTACTGTAAAACCGATATGAGAGAATGATAAAACCAAGTATCACTTCCTGTATTGCTGAATTGACACAAGGTATTCTCATTGTTATAATATTGCAAACCGTCTATGTGGATCAAAATTTATTTGAAATTGTGTTTTTACATGATTTCTTTCCCCTGTAATCGTTAATCTCTTTTTAACAAAGTAAAAATTGAGAATGTTAGTTTCAGTCAACCTTGGGCAATATTGACCTTCATTACTATATTGGCATATTTTAATAATAACGATGAAAAACTAATAACTGGCTATTTCGTTCACAATGAAACAAATTTAAGAACAAAATTTACATCTAAATTTCAAGGGAAATTTCAAGTTAAGTGCTATTGTCACTACAGATATTTAGCTGAGATTTATTTTATTTTTTGAATAAATTCAAAGTTAGAACAAAGTAGTTATTTTAATAGGAATATTAAAACTGACATTCAAATTATTGTAACAAAAATATATTAAATATATTGATATTATTCAAATGCAGTTTAGTAGAATTTAATTAGTCTT